AAAGTGCCTAGAAATAACAGGAGTCAGTAGAAACCTCAGAAAATTTGTGCAAAGATCGATGGCACAATGGAAGACACAGTTGCAGATCAATGGTGAAAAGCTGGGAGAGGTTAATATCAAGAGAGGCATATTTCAAGGAGATTCATTATCACCATTACTATTTGTTATTGCACTGTTTCCTCTGTCAACAATACTGAATAACTCAGGACATGGCTATCAAACATCAAAAACATCTGCTAGACTATCCCACCTCCTTTACATGGATGATCTGAAGCTGTATGGAAAAACATCATCGGAAATAGAATCGCTGCTCAACACTGTCCGTATATATAGCCAAGATATTGTAATGGAGTTTGGCTTGGACAAATGTGCCACACTTACTATCAAACAAGAAAAAGTAGTGAAAACTGAAGGAATCAAGATGCCCCACGAAAATAACATTAAGAGTCTGGATGAGGAAGAGTACTACAAATACTTGGGTATCCTTCAAGCTGACAACATCAAGCATACTGAAGTCAAGAAAAAGATTAGAGGTGCATACATCAAGAGAGTGAAGAAGATCTTAAAGTCCAAACTCAATGGAGGAAATACCATAAAGGCAATCAACATCTGGGCAATCCCAGTCATTAGGTACACAGCTGGAATAGTGGACTGGACTCAAGCAGAACTAAAAGCAATGGATAGGCAGACCCGAAAAATAATGACAATGAATCATGCCCTTCATCCACGCAGTGACGAATATGACAGGACTTTATCTCCAAGGCAAAAAGGTGGGCATGGAATGCTTGCAAAGTACATACAGATGGTGTCACAGAACAAACAAATGGCTTTGAAGAATATCTGAAGAAACAAGGAGAAAGATGCTAGTCGAAAGTTAGTATTATGAGGCAAGGCTTATGACGTACTGGATGAGACCAATACTGGCTTACAACGAAATACCTAAATGAAGCAGAATAGAGGCATGGGAAGATCAAAGCACTACATGGCCCCTACATTTAAAAAAATAGCTGGGAAAGCAGATAATAACATAGACCATCGGGCATGGCTAAGAGCAGGAAAATTGAAGAAAGAGACCGAGGGGACTAATTCGTTTTCTCATGGCTGCACACAGTACACACAAGCCTTAAGGACCAATGCATATAAAGTCAAAATTGAGAAGACAGCAACAGACAGTAAGTGCCGCCTATGAAAAGAAGCTGAAGAAACAGTGGACCACCTGGTAAGCTGTGGCAAGAAGATTGCACAGACTGACTACAAGCAGTGGCATGACAAAGTAGCAACAATGGTGCATTGGAAGTTCTGCAAAAAATATCATTTGCCTGTAAGCAAAAACTGGTGGGATCATAAAATAGAGAAAGTCATAGAAAATGATAAAATTAAACTGCTCTGGGACTTCAGAATTCAAACAGACAAGCACCTGCAACATAACAGCCCAGACTTAACAATTGTCGATAAGAAAGACAAAAAAGTCTGGATAGTGGACGTGGCAGTGCCTGGAGATAGCAGAATAGAAGAGAAAGAACTGGAGAAGATAACAAAATACAAAGACCTACAAATAGAAATAGAAAGACTGTGGCAAAAGCAAGCAAGGGTAGTGCCAATAGTAATAGGCTCCTTGGGTGCAATCCCAAAACAACTGGAGCACCACTTGAACACCATTGGCATTGACAAAGTCGCTATTAGTCAATTGCAAAAGGCAGCCTTATTAGGAACTGCTTCCATCCTGCGACGATATCTGTAATACCATCAAACATCCACATCTGCCTATCCCAGGTCCTGGGTAAGGACTCGATAGGTAGACAAAATGCCAAATCCCGTCTGAACATCTGGCTGACTGTGCGATGATCGATAATAATACTAATAAATAATAGAATACAATATTAATAAATAATAATAATAATAATAATAATAATATAGTAGAGAATAATAAGTATTCAGTCAAGTTAAGATTCACATGCAAGAAGCTAGGTAACAGATGAAAGAAAAGAAGAGCTGAAGAACAATGAAGACCAAAGAATACATCTTATATGAACAATGTATACTACCACTTAGAAACAAGGAAGATCAAGGAAGCACTGGAAATAATAAAGCAACAAATAACAGCTGTAGCCAGGAAAATCAGTAGATATGAAGCTCGAATTGCAAACTATAGGCAGAACCTCCAATTTCAATCCAATCAAAAACGTTTCTACCAATCCATCAATGGAGAAACTGCAAGGAATCAGTCAGTACCTGACAAGGAAGAAACAGTGCAGTTCTGAAAGCAGATATGGGATAACCCAAAGAAATACAACAAGGATGCGGCTTGGTTAAAAGAGGTGGAGACAAATAAAACAGAAGTTGAAATGAAAGGACTAGTAATAACAACAAAAATGGTAGAAAAAAGAGCAAGGAAAATCAAAAATTGGTCAGCACCAGGTGAAGATGAACTGCATGGGTTTTGGTTGAAACATCTAACTGTTATACACCCACTCATTGCCAAACAGTTCAAAAATATACTACAAGGAGGAGAAATTAAAAAGTGGCTAACAACTGGGAAAACCTACCTAATAATGAAAAATCCAGCAAAAGGGGCAACACCAGGCAACTACAGGCCAATTACCTGCTTACCAACAACTTTCAAATTGCTAACTGGTGTGGTAGCTGATGCAGTACAACAGCATCTAGTTGAAAACAATCTCTTTCCACCTGAGCAGAAAGGAAACCGCCCCAATAGCAGAGGAACAAAAGATCAACTCCTAATAGACAAAATGATCTTGGAAAACTGCAAGAAAAGTAAGACCAACCTGAATGTGGCATGGATTGACTACAAAAAGGCATTTGACTCTCTGCCACATGATTGGATAATAAAGTGCCTAGAAATAACAGGAAGTCAGTAGAAAACATCAGAAAATTTGTGCAAAGACGTGGCACAATGAAGACACAGTGCAGATCAATTGTAGAGAAGGCTGGGGAGAGGGATAATATCAAGAGAGGAATATTTCAATGGAGATTACTATTAGCACCATTACTATTTGTTATTGCACGGTTCCTCTGGTAGACAACACACCTGGAAATAACTCAAGTGACGACATGAGCTATCAACAACATGTCAAAAACATTTCTACCAGACTATCCCACCTCCTCTACATGGATGATCTGAAGCTGTATGGAAAAACATCATCTGAAATAGAATCGCTGCTCAACACTGTCCGTATATATAGCCAAGATATTGTAATGGAGTTTGGCTTGGACAAATGTGCCACACTTACTATCAAACAAGGAAAAATAATGAACACTGAAGGAATCAAGATGCACCACGAAAATAACATTAAGAGTCTGGATGAGGAAGATTACTACAAATACTTGGGTATCCTTCAAGCTGACAACATCAAGCACACTGAAGTCAAGAAAAAGATTAGAGGGGAATACATCAAGAGAGTGACGAAGATCTTAAAATCCAAACTCAATGGAGGAAATACCATAAAGGCAATCAACACCTGGGCAATCCCAGTCATTAGGTAAACAGCTGGAATAGTGGACTGGACTCAAGCAGAACTAAAAGCAATGGATATGCAGACCAGAAAAATAATGACAATGAATCATGCCCTTCATCCACGCAGTGACATTGATAGACTTTATCTACCAAGGCAAATAGGTGGGCGTGGAATGCTACAAGTACATCAGATGGTTGAAGAAGAAAAAATGGCTTTGAAGAATATCTGAAAAACAATGATGAAGATGCACTGTAATTAGTATATCAGGAAGCTTACTAACTCTGGAGAGACCAAACTGGGCCTACAAGAAAGACCAAATGAAGAACAGAATAGAGGCATTGGAGACCAAAGCACTACATTGGCCATACTGAAAAATAGCTGGGAAAGCAGATAATAATAAAACCTGGCAATGGCTAAGAGCAGGAAAATTGAAGAAAGAGACCGAGGGATTAATTCTGGCTGCACAAGACCAAGCTTTAAGGACCAATGCATACAAAGTCAAAATTGAGAAGACAGCAACAGACAGTAAGTGCCGCCTATGCAAAGAAGCTGAAGAAACAGTGGACCACTTGGTAAGCTGTTGCAAGAAGATTGCACAAACTGATTACAAGCAGCGGCATGACAAAGTACAACAATGGTGCATTGGAAGATCTGCAAAAAATATCATTTGCCTGTAAGCAAAAACTGGTGGGATCATAAAATAGAGAAAGTCATAGAAAATGATAAAATTAAACTGCTCTGGGACTTCAGAATTCAACCAGACAAGCACCTGCAACATAACACCCCAGACTTAACAATTGTCGATAAGAAAGACAAAAAAGTCTGGATAGTGGACGTGGCAGTGCCTGGAGATAGCAGAATAGAAGAGAAAGAACTGGAGAAGATAACAAAATACAAAGACCTACAAATATAAATAGAAAGACTGTGGCAAAAGCAAGCAAGGGTATTACCAATAGTCATAGGCTCCTTGGGCGCAATCCCAAAACAACTGGAGCACCACTTGAACACCATTGGCATTGACAAATTTGCTATTAGTCAATTGCAAAAGGCGGCCTTATTAGGAACTGCTTCCATCCTGCGACGATAACTATAATACCATCAAACATCTACTTCTGCCTATCCCAGGTCCTGGGTAAGGACTCGATAGGTAGACAAAATGCCAAATCCAGTCTGAACATCTGGCTGACTGTGCGATGATTGATAATAATAATAATAATAAAAGTTGGAAGGGACCTTGGAGGTCATCTACTCCAACCCCCTACTCAGGCAGGAAACCCTATACCAGGGGTAGGCAACCTTGACTCTTTTATGACTCGTGGACTTCAACTCCAGAATTCCTGAGCTCAGTCATGCGGAGGTGGAATGGATAGGTTTTCCCAGCTGACCCATGCTGCTCATGAATTCTGGGAGTTGAAGTCAGAGTCATAAAAGAGCCCAGGTTGCGTACCCCTGGCTTATACCTTTCAGACAAATGGCTGTCCATTCTCTTCTTAAAAACCTAAAAATATGTAACCTTGCTGAGGCCGACCCTGTGTTTGATTCCCACAGGTGCAGACCCGAAGTTCGGATGAGCCAATGACAACCTTTGTGGTGTGTAACGAATGTGGAAATCGCTGGAAGGTAAGCCATCTCTATACCTGGGTGTGACCTATGAACCTGGCACAGGTAGGCCTTGACTTAAGACTCTATAAGTGAATTTTGCCCCATTTTACGGCCTTTCATGCCACAGTTGTTAAGTGAATCACTGCAGTTGTTAGCAACCCCATTTAGTTTGCTTGTCAGAAGGCCGTAGAAGGGGATCACGTGATCCCCAGGATGGGGCAGCTGTCATAAATACAAGTCAGTTACCAAGGATCTGAATTTCTGTCTATAATTGTTAAATGCATTCACTGCAGTGGTCAGGTTAATACAGGTAGTCCAACTTACAACAGTCCATTTAGTGATCATTCAACCCCGACTGCTCTTTAGATGGCCAGATCCTGAAGTTGAAACTCAAATACTTTGGCCACCTAGTGAGAAGGAAGGATTCACTGGAGAAGAGCCTAATGCTGGGAAAGATGGAGGGCAATAGAAGAAGGGGACGACAGAGAAGGAGGTGGCTGCATGGAGTCACTGAAGCAGCTGTCGTGAGCTTAAATGGACTCCAGAAGATGGTAGAGGACAGGAAAGCCCGGAGGAACATTGTCCATGGGGTCGTGATGGGTCGGACACGATTTCGCAATTAATAACAAGTAGCAGTAGTAGTAGTAGTAGTAGTAGTAGTAGTAGTAGTAGTAAAGTTGGAAGGGACCTTGGAGGTCATCTAGTCCAACCCCCTGCTCAGGCAGGAAACCCTATTTCATTTCAAACAAATGGCTGTCCAGTCCCTTCTTAAAAACTTCCAGTGTTGGAGCATTCACCGCTTCTGGAGTCAGGTTGTTCCACTGGTTAATTGTTCTCACTGTCAGGAAATTTCTCCTTAGTTCCAGGTTGCTTCTCTCCTCGATTAGTTTCTGTCTGTTGCTTCTCGTCCTGCCTTCAGGCGCTTTGGGGAATACATGTAAATGTTAGCCCGCCCCGAAGCTGTGACTGAGAAGCCACACTCTAATTTTTCTAGAGAGAGCTAGCATCCAAATTCTCCAGAGCTAGCTGATATCTGCAGGCAGGTTTATCTGCAGATGGCAATTACAGTAGGACCTTTTCGCTGAAAACCCTTGGATGGTCCTTGGTGACATTTTGAGGGCTCCTAAAAAAAGCTAGAATTGTGAATCACCTTGTTGGGATGATCTCAGGATGTCACGTGTATAATTTCAGCCAAGGGCATGTCACAGCTAGACTGGAATTTCAGCAGCAAGGATTGCTGCTTCATTGAGCTTCATTCATGGAGTCAGTTTGGTGTAGTAGTTAAGGTGTTGGTCTAGAAACCAGGAGACGGTGAATTCTAGTCCCGCCTTGGGCATGAAAGCTGGCTGCGTGCCTCTGGGCCAGTCACCAGGAGATGGTGAGTTCTAGTCCCGCCTTAGGCCTGAAAGCTGACTTGGTGACTTTGGGCCAATCACAGGAGTCCCTGAGTTCCAGTCCCACCTTAGGTACAGAAGCCAGTTGGTGACTACGGGCCAGTCACCAGGAGACAGTGAGTTCTAGTCCCACCTTAAGCATAAAGGCCAACTGGTTAACTTTGGGCCGGTCCCTCTTTCTCAGCTCAACCCATCACACAGGGCTGTTGTTGGGAAAATGGGAGGAGGAAGGAGTATTGGATATGTTTACTGCCTTGAATTATAAAGTTAGAAAGGGAGAATAAAAGGGAGGGAGGGAGGGAGGAAGACAGGGAGAGAGGGAAAGTATGGGGGGAAAGGAAGGAAGGAAGGAAGGAAGGAAGGAAGGAAGGAAGGAAGGAAGGAAGGAAAGAAAGAAGGAAGAAAGGAAGGAAGGAAGGAAAGAAGGAAGGAAGGGAAGGAGGGAGGAAGGGCAGAAAGGAGGAAGGGAGGGAGGGAAGGGAGAGATGGAAAGAATGAGGGAGGAAAGGATGGCAGGAAGGGGAGGAAGGAATAAAGGAGACAGAAGGAAGGAGAGAAGGAGGAAGGGAGGACAGAAGGAAGGAAGGAAGGGAGGGAGGAGACGGAACAAGGGAGGGAAGGAAGGAAGGGGAGTGAGGAAGGAAACAAGGAAGAGAGAGAGGAATGAAGGAAAAGAAGGAAGGAAGGAAGGAAAAGAAGGAAGGAAGGAAGGAAGGAAGGAAGGAAGAAAGGAAGGAAGGAAGGAAGGAAGGAAGGAAGGAAGGAAGGATCCGATCATTATCTCAGAGTCCTGGCTAACTTCACCCTTCCATCCTGAATTCCATCCTTTTCTTGCCAATCCTCCACCACCACAACTGAACTACAAAACCAGCATTCTGCAAGGAATATATATATATCTATATCTATATATATATCACACCTTCTGGGAGCCTCAGTGGGTCCTCCATTCCCCTTCACCAGAAGAGGCTTTTCTTGTGCCCTTGTTTCTGTCTCTAAATCCCCTTCCCTTCTTACAGTTCTGCTGAAAACCTCACGGAGGGGAGCAGCCACAGCTGATTCAGGGCCCAAGCTCTGCCACGGACTCCCGCAGTACGGCCAGCAGTTTTTTTTTTTTTTTGGTCCTGTTTTGTCACCGAGTTTGCTTTGTGCTCTGTACATCATCCAGGTGAGGAGGGCCCAGCTGCCTGCACACCTGTAGGAAGTTATCAGCGGCTGGGAACGGAGGCCGCCGGGATGGCACCGGATGGGAAAGTTTAACCGGGACCAACCAGCTTATTGTTGAGAATGTGGAACAGCGATTTTTGTTCTTGTTTCGTTTCGTTTCTCTTAAAACGGCCAGGCGTCTGGCTTTGAGCCTCAAAGTGTACAGAAAGCTTCTTGTGAGTCTCCTTGGCTTCTCAAAAGCTACAAACCAGTATTAACCCAACTTCCTAATCCTGGGTTCAAGGCTCCTTTCTTGTTTTGCAGGATGACTTTTTTTCGCTTCCGTTGCACAAACCTGCCCAGTTTGAAAGCTGCGGGGCTCCCAGCCCCTCTACCGAAAAAAAAAAAAAAAAAGTATTGCTCATCCTGCTTTCATTTTGTTTTGGGAGCTGGAAAGAATAGGAAATAGAGCGAAAAGGTTTTGTTCCCCCCCCCCCACAAATCGGTTGAAATATATATGGATTTTCCCGTGGCTGGGTCGTAAAACAAACCATCTCTCAAAAGTTGGCTGCCGTCGTTAACAAGATGAAAAGTGTGGGCTTCAAAAGAAAACTAGGAGGGGAAAAAATAGTATTCAAAATTCAGAAGTGTTTCTAGGAAAATAGCTTTAATTTCAGCCGACTCTCTGCAATTGGATGGGAGAAAAAAGCTGTGTAAAATGGAGGCGCTTCGGCTTGCATCCCTATTGACTGTTGTGTGTGAAATCCCTAAGATGCATTCTTTGTGTGTGTTAGGAGTACAACTGCCCTCTGCTAACTGCATCTACACACCAGTTTCCGTTTTCCACATAGGACAAGCCGCTGCCTTGTGAATCCTCACAGACACACATCCACGTGAAAAGAGAGCCATTTTATACTTGACGGAGTGGGTAATTTGGCCTACGTGCCCAAGCCTATCCACAGCCTCTTAAGTGCAAGTGTTACTAACGCACAAATATTTGAGTTTGTTAAATGAAAAATCCTGGGGGGGTGGGTGTGAGGGAAGGAAAAGGGAGACATTTACTTAGGCTAGTGGTATCGAACTGCTGTGTGAGATCTCAGAAAAAGAGTTGAAATACAAAAACAGAGTTGAACCAGCGTGTCTCAAACTTTCAGACAGGTGGACTTCAACTCCCAGAATTCCCCAGCCAGCATGGCTGGCTGGGGAATTCTGGGAGTTGAAGTCCACCTGTCTGAAAAGTTTGCCAAATTTGAGAAACACCGTTTTAGACCTTCCCCTCCAGTCTGCCAAGGTAGATAAGCTTACCAGGCAAATGAAATCAATTCGTGATTTAACCCAAAGGAGCTTGGATGGTACTTTTGCTGCATCATCTCATTCATCGGGCCCACTCGTTTTATTTGAAATTTTATTTTCTGTGTTCCATGTACAGTCGCAAATGCAAAATAATAATAATAAAAAAAACATTCCTTCACGAAGAACAGGGCAATCTGCTTTTGATGCAGCGCACCCTCCGTGCTGGTTGAAAAAAAGGTCAAATTATTTTTTTGGGGGGTGGAATTAAAATTGGGGAAAATCCAGAGCTTTTGTCTGTCGATGTCCACTCTTCTTATCAGGCTATTTGCCTAAATCAGGGGTAGGCAACCTTGGCTCTTATGACTCGTGGACTTCAACTCCCAGAATTCCTGAGCCAGCATAGAAAACTATGGCCCCCTCATGACTTGTGGATTTCAACTCCCAGAATTCCTGAGCCAGCATGGCTCAGCTTGGAAACCTCTCTTTTCACTCAGCCTGGCTGGCTCGGGAATTCTGGGAGTTGAAGTCCACGAATCATAAAAGAGCCAAGGTTGCATACCCCTGGCCTAAATGACCATTTATTTCAAACCCTGCCAGATTGTACAGCAGGCTTTCCCTAAGCTTGGTGGTTTTTAACCATGGTCGGTCTTGGTTTGTGTGCCTCAATCTACCTTATAGTAGTGTTAGTCCTCGACTTAACAAGCGTTCATTTAGTGACCGTTCAAAATTACAACGGCACTGGAAAAAGTGGACTGATGACCATTTTTCACACTTAATGACCGTTGCGTCCTCCCCAGGGTCACGTGATCAAAATTCGGAAACCTGGCAAACTGGCTCATATTTACGACGGGGGTCACGTGATCCCCTTTTGCGACCTTCTGACAAGCAAAGTCCATGGGGAGGCCAGATTCACTTAACAACCGGGTTGTTAACTGAACCACTGCAGTGACTCGCTTAACAACTGTGGCAAGGAAGGTCGCAAAATGGGGGCAAAACCCGACTGTCTCATTTAGCAACAGAAACTTTGGGCTGAATTTTGGGCGGTAAGTCCAGATCAAGCTGTAGTAAGCTTATGGCTCGCTGCACTGACGTAAACACTGATAATAGATTAAGTCAGTGACCAGGCCGAACTTGTTGTGTGACCGCAACCACCGAGATTTGGAAAATGCTACTTCTTTGTGTTCAGTTGAACCTGAGACAATACAATCTGCAGTTCTGAGGTGACTTGTTACCTCAGCTGAACGTGGTTTGACATGTCTCAAATGGGAAGATCTGAAACCATGACCGAAGAGGGGCATATTGGAGAAGGCCCGAATTGGGCCGTTGTGTGCTGCCTCATTTTAAGCCAATGTTTTTTTTTTCCAGACTCGGTGACTTGAAGATGGGTGGACTTCAACTCCCAGAATTCCTCAGCCAGCCATGTTGGCTAGGGAATTCTGGGAATTGAAGTCCACCCATCTTCAAGTCGCCGAGTCTGAAAAATATCATTTTAAGCCATCAGACTGGGTGAGGAATGTATGACGAGGGCTAAATATATATATTTCCCGGAGTATCTTTTCTTCTAGAATTTTTTCCTCTCTGCTGCCGTGCCAGTTGGCAGTTGCAAAATCTCTCCTTTGAGAGCTAACTTAAGTTGAAGATCAAAGCAGCCATGGAAAAAGGAAAACTGAGGGCTACATTCACCCAATGTATTTAATCCAGTTCTATGAAGATTGGTAATTCACACCAAAACCTAATATGGGTAAAGTTAAGCTTGGTTACTTAGGTTTTGGGGAGTCTTAGTGGCTTGTTCCAGTGAAGGCTGTTTGGTTAGTCCAGGGGTCTTCAAACTAGGCCCTTTTATGACTTGTGGACTTCAACTCCCAGAATTCCTCAGCCAGTTATGCTGGCTGAGGAATTCTGGGAATTGAAGTCCACAAGTCATAAAAGGGCCAAGTTTGAAGACCCCTGGGTTAGTCAGGGGTGAATGCATTATGGGGATCCCAAAAATATAATTTAACTCAGTACAGGCAGTCCTTGACTTACAACCATTTGTTTAGTGGCTGTTACAATGGCACTGAAAAAAGTGACAATTTTTCACACTTAGGACCCTTGTAGCACCTCCCTGGTCACGTGATCAAAATATAGGCACTTGGCAAGTGGTTCATATTTGCGACGATGGCAGCGTCCCGGGGTCATGTGATCCCCTTTTGCGACCTTCTGACAAGCAAAGTCAATGAAGGAGCCAGATTCCCTTCATTGTGTTACTAGCAACTGCAATGATTCATTTAACACCTATAGCAAAAGAAAGGTGGTAAAATGAGGCAAAGTCACCTAAGAATTGTCTGGCTTAGCAGTGCAAATTTTGGTCGCAAGTCGAGGACTACCTGCAATCTAGCTATTATCCTACGTGAACAAGCCACCTCTTGCCTAATAAAGGAATAAAGAGAACAGGATGTTTTCAAAATCCAGGTTTATATGTGTGGTTATCCCTGTTTCCCTCCCCCCCAAATATATATGTATATGAGATAAAAGACTTTCTGACTGTTAGCCAAACCAAGCTTTGGCTTGGCTCTCTTTGATATTATTCTGTCTTAAATAAAGCCATGAAATCGAACAAGATTGGGCTTTATCTCTCAGAAACAAAGCTTGAAATATAGGATTGGTTTGATAGAATCTCTGATCGGACAAAACTAAGCCAATAATTTACCAAGCTTTGGCTATATATTCAAACATTCCCTTCATTTTGCCCATCTCAGTGGCAAAATGAAAAGCCATTGGAAATATAGAAAGAAATATCTTTTCTTTGTTACTGTTTCCAAGATAACTTTCAGCTCAAAGCTACAACGGAGGCTTCATTTGTTTTGAGTGGAAAAGTCCCTTAAATAATAATAATAAAAAAAGAATGCTGAAATTTTGCAGGAGGAAAGATGGGTCCAATCTGTAGAGAGGAAAGGATTTGACATCACAACCTCAACTCACAAATCACCGGGGGCCACTGTAGCCACTATTCGGGGTGCGTATGTGGCCAGATTTCCGCAGCGATTTTGTTTCTGTGCCAACTCGAGAAAATGCCAAATATTGGCAACTCTAGCATGTGAGTCTGCAGATCCACTCTCAAGTTCAGTGTTGATATATTTTGCAAAAAAATAAACATATTTACCGTACCCCAAAGCTTTTTCATTTTTACTGGAGGTACTCAAGGTGGGGAAAGTAATTTGATACCTTCAGCTAACGATTAAGCGCAGCTATTCAGCATTACTTCAAAGATGGGAGCTGGGATTGCAGGATAGGAATTGAAAAGGATCCCCAAAGGTTTTGCTACTACGATCTTGCACCAAAAAAGTCTTTTCCGTTTCAGATATTAGCAAGCTTTTTCCAGTTAATAATTTCAATTCAAATACTCTTTTTTATGTTTAAGATCTATGCTTTGAAAGGATTGTGCCTTTAAAAAAAAAATGCAGATACCAGAATACAGGTAGTCCTCGACTTACAACTGTTTGTTTAGTTAACAATGGCGCTGAAAAAAAGGGACTTGCAACTAACCCTTGTACTTAAAACTCTTGCGCGATCCCGCCACGTGATCAAAATGTGGGCATTTGGCAACCAGCTTGTAATTACGGAGGTAGCAACGTCCTGGCATTTACATGTCTTTTCCAGCTGGCTTGCGACAAACAAAGTCTGTGGGGGAAGCTAGATTCACTTAACGACTGATTGGCTTAACGACTGCAGTGACTCGCTTCGGCTGTGACACAATTAACCGCTCCCTCACTTAGCGATAGAAGTTGTGGTCCTGATTGCAGTCATTAAGTCGAGGATTACTTGTAGCATCAGGAAGATCTCATGACTGAATTATCAAGGTCACGAGACTTACAAACATGACGGACTGGCTTCCATTACAGTCGTAAGTCAAGGATTATCTGTACATATAAGTGGAAGATAAGATTGAAGTCGTCCTGGTAGTCAACTCACTGGCGATCAAAGCAATTTGCATCTGTGCTACTAACTTGCAATTAAAATGAGGTGTTTTCCCCATTCTAGCTTATCAGCCATAGTTACCCTGCAGAGGAAAGTCATTCTTCTTCCTTCGTTATCTATTTACCTTTCCATTTTTGTTTGAAAAATTCCACTTAAGCCATGATGGTCTGCATTTGCCTTAAGAAAAGTGTGTGAACCAGTCATTTGTAAATCATTTGAATGGCTTGGCAGGGCATGCCAACCAAGCTCTATTGTACAGGACTGAAACCATGAGATCCAGCTTGTAAAAGTATGTGATGCTCATGGGTTTGTCAGCTTTAATCCACGTTTTCCATGTAGCCCAGGGATCATGAAACTTTAAGGCTTCTGGACGTCAACTCCCAGAATTCCTCTGCTAGCCACGCTGGTTAGGGAATTTTGGGAGCTGAAGTCCACACATTTCAAAGTCGACAAGTTTGGAGACCCAATACAGTCTTATAGCAGTTTCTCAACCTTGACAATTTTAAGGCATGTGGACTTCAACTCCCAGAATTCCACAGCCAGCAATGCTGGCTTGGAATTCTGGGAGTTGAAGTCCACATGCCTTAAAATTGTCAAGGTTGAGAAACACTGGTCTATAGCTTAGGACAGAATTGTAAAAATTAATATCCGTGATCCATAAGCTGCTGTATTCCCCGCCATCTCTGTCCAGCATTAAGGAAGCCAGTCAGACTGCGGCAGTCAATATTCTAGAGAAGTATTTCTCAACTTGAGCTAAACTTTTAAAGATTTTTTTTAACTTTGGTTTTCCCAGTCGTAATATATATGGCTGTGAGAGTTTGGACCATAAGGAAGGCTGAGCGCTGAAAAATGGATGCTTTCAAATAGTGGGGCTGGAAAAGACTCTTGCACTGCAAAGAGATCCAATCAGTCAATCCTAAAGGGAATCAACCCGGACTGTCTTTTGGAAGGACAGATCTTGAAGCTAAAGCTCAAATAGTTTGGCCACCAAATGCGAAGAGGACTCCTTGGAGAAGACCCTGATGTTGGTGAAAATGGAAGACAAAAGGAGGTAGTGGGGGGGGGGACAGCAGAGAAAAAGATGGTTAGATAATGTCATTAACGCAAAGAATGTAAATATGGGCACATTCTGGAAAACGGGTGGGGGGGGTAGGCTGGTGTGCTATGGTCTATGATGCGACTTAAAATTAATAATAAAGTTGGAAGGGACCTTGGAGGTCATCTAGTCCAACCCCCTGCTCAGGCAGGAAACACTGTATCATTTCAGACAAATGGTTGTCTAGTCTTTTTAAAAACTTCCGGGCTGGAGCATCCACAACTTCTGGAGGCGAGTAGTTCCACTGGGTAATTGTTCTCACTGTCAGGAAGTTTCTCCTTAGTTCTAGGTTGCTTCTCTGCTTGATTTGTTTGCATCCATTGCTTCTTGTCCTGCCTTCAGGCGCTTTGGAGAATAGCTTGACTCCCTCCTCTTTGGGGCAGCCCCTGAGATATTGGAACACTGCTATCGTCCTTCTCATTAAATTACACATACCCAATTCCAGCAACCATTCCTTATGTTTTTATATATTTGTGGACTTCCACTCCCAGAATTCCCCCCCCCCAGTGGAATTTTGGGAGTTGATATCTACACTCCTTGAAAGTTTCCAAGGTGAGAAACACAGTTCTAGAGCATGAATTTTCGAACTTTTCCAGGCTAAAGGGCCGGTTTTATTATAAAAATTCCCAGAACCCCAAATTAAGAGAGATGGGACTCGTAAATGTCAGCTGATGAACCCCGCCCTTTCCGCTCAGGTTTACGGAAAAATGCTAAGGAAATCCCTGTAGCTTCAAGGCAGGAGCTTAAAGGCTGAGTATATTCAGTGTTGTTTTTGTTAAAGCTTAACTCCCTCGAAACCCTGTCAAATCCTTACTGAGTTTGCAGAACACCCTGCTTGGGGGGGAAAAAACCTCCAATTTTTACACCATGCCTGTTGATATTCCTATCTTCTTGGTAGATGTAAAAAAATGCTTTTGAATTTACTCAATTGGCCCTTTATTTCTTCCAGTGGCAGGGAGTTCCCACAAAGTCACAAAAAGTATGGTTTTTTTTTTGAACTCAGCCCTGTAGATATGCATGTCCAATTCGTGATGATCTGAATTTCAAGATGTGAAAAAGCTGGAAACCCTGCCCCCCATGGAGTTATGTTAACTCCAAAGCTGTTTTCCAAACTGTAGGAATACAACGGTACCTCGGTACTCAACCCTCTGAAATTCACCCAATTTGGTACTTAACACATTTTGACATGAAAATGTTGCCCCGGTACTCATCATTTGTTTGGGACACAATGCACAAGCTGCAATTTGTCAGTGTCGGCTGCTTTGTGACTCACTACGTTATTCCTTATGGGGAAAAAATTGCTTGGTATTCATCGTTCTTGGTACTCACTGCAGTTTCCTGGAACCAATGGACGATGAATACCGAGGTACACCCCTATGTGAATTAAAAAGACACCAGACAAAGATTCCTGTATTTTACTGGCCACAAAACAACACGAATTTCTGCTGTGACTAGAGACAAAAAAAAGTTTTACTAGGCAGGCCAGTAAAATCTGTTGGGGGTGACCAGTTTTTGGAAAATGGCTTTCTATAACCCAAAAGATACCTCTTTAGAAAAATGCAAGAGGGAGCGGGAGCTGAGATGGCTTGAGGTTATAACAATAATAAAAAAGTTGGAAGGAACCTTGGAGGTCATCTAGTCCAACCCCCTGCTCAGGCAGGAAACCCTATACCATTTTGGACAAATGGCTGTCCAGTTTCTTCTTAAAAACTTCCAGTGTTGGAGCATTCACCGCTTCTGGAGGCAGGTTGTTCCATTGGTTAATTGTTCTAACTGTCAGGAAGTTTCTCCTTAGTTCTAGGTTGCTTCTCTCTTTGGTTAGTTTCCACCCGTTGCTCCTTGTCCTGCCTTCTGGACCACTCCATTCCATTCTGGCAAGCTCATTTTAAGGAAAAGGTTGCTTAGTCAAACCAAAGTTCCACCTAGAACCAGAGGTAGGCAAACGTGGCCCTTTTATGACTCATGGACTTCAACTCCCAGAATTCCTGAGCCAGCCTCACTGAGGGGAAATGGAGAGGCTTCCAAGATGAGCCATGCTGGCTCAAAAATTCTGGGAGTTGAAGTCCACGAGTCATAAAAGAGCCAAGGTTGCTTACCCCTGCCCTAGGCCACAGTGACCAAAGAGATGTTTCCAAGAATCCCACCAACAGATTATGAAGTACAGGTAGTCCTCGACTTAACCGTTCAAAATTACAACAGCACTGAAAAAAGTGACTACCAGTCTACACCAGAGGCATGTCGACAATGTGACCTACGACGATGGGCCGATCTTTAGACCTGATCGGAATTCACGTTGGCTTTCTCACAGAGCTTCCAGCTCAGAGCCAGTGTGGGATTCAGCCAGTTCGCACTGGTTTTGGAGAACCAGTAGCTAAATTTCCCTGAATTTGGAGAACCGGCTGGCTTCCACATGTCCAGTCTAGGCCTCTAGGCCACCATAAGTGCATGGATACCACTTCTGGAAGTCCGTTCTAGGCCTTGGAGGCCTGGAGGAGTCCTCTCAGGCCTAGAACAGCTCACTGGAAGTGCATGGATACCACTTCCGGAAGTCCATTCTAGGCCTTGGAGGAGGCATCAGAGGCCTGAAGGAGTCCTCCCAGCCTAGAACAGCCCTCCGGAAGTGCATGGATGTCACTTCTGGAAGTCCGTTCTAGGCATTGGAGACCTGGAGGAATCCTCCCAGGTCAAGAACAACCCACCGGAAGTCCACGGATGCCACTTCTGGAAGCCTGTTCTAGGCATCGGAGGCCCAGGCCTGCATCAAATATGAGAACTGGTTGTTACGGTATTTGAATCCCACCATTGCTCAGAGCCAAGTACCATTGATCTTCTCTTCCCCTTCTTCTCAAACTGAGGTGAGGGAACCCTACCTGGGATCAACTGTGAATTGAAAAGGATCCGGGATGCAGAAAACCTGAACGTATTTTTATATAACATCTGAACGTTGCTTAATCCCATTACATTAGCCCAGTGTTTCTCAACCTTCACAATTTTAAGGCATGTGGACTTCAACTCCCAGAATTTCACAGCCAGCATTGCTGGCTGTGGAATTCTGGGAGTTGAAGTCCACATGCCTTAAAATTGTCAAGGTTGAGAAACACTGCATTAGCCTAACCACAGTTTCCACTCGAACTGTCTTTGAGATCTTTGTGTCTACAAGAACACCATGGAAAGAATTCTTAACGAACATGGAAGGAATTTAAAAATAAAATAAAATAAAAAAAAAAATCCGAGAGAGATCAACGTTCCGGAGATAATAATGGGCTTTTGGCCTGTGGTTTCTTCTGCCCCGTTGCCCCAGAGGTCCACCTCCCAATTTGTTGCTGGTTGGTGGCTTCCTTCTGCGTTCTCCATCTCTAGGGTGACCGGCCAGATACCGGTCACCAAAGCCGGTTCGGTTGTGGAAGTAGAAGCCTGAGTTTGAAGTTCTTGGTGGTTGACTGGCGTGGGCCCTTTTCTGAACAAGGAAAAACGGAAGTTGCGGACTGAGCTTTCCAACAACTGGACAATTGTCTGTGGTCAGAACTCAGCTGGGTCTATTTGTTCTGTAAGCTCATTTGGGAGATTTTTTTTTTTTTAAAGAAGAGAGTGTGTGTGTGGGGGGAACAAAACACCTGCTCTAAGGAAAGGAAACCCTTCACTTGGCGTCTCCATCAATGGTACGGAAGGGCTTAAGACTCCGAAGATGACCGAGAGACATTCTGGAGCAGAGCTTTGTATATGGCAGAGTTCAGGAAACGCGGGTAGGAGTCTCTGTGCATCAGCGTGTAAATCTGTAGCTGCGCATCGTCGAAGGTGTGCAAGGAGGGCTCCTGCATCTTGCGGTTGATGCCTTCGCGAACGCGGGAATCCAAGCTGACCTGAGCAAGGAGGGTGGGCAGGACACAATGAGAAAGGTTATTCTGGTGGATTGTCCATCAAGGGGGAGTCAGATGGGACTAGTGGTTAAAGTTAAGAAGCCAGGAGATGGTGAGTTCTAGTTCCAGTATTCTAATCCTGCTTTAGGCATGAAAGTCAGCTGGGTGACTTTGGACCAAACCCCCAGGAGATTGGGAATTCTAGTCCTGCCTTAGACATAAAAGTCGGCTGGGTGACTTTGGACCAATTCCCAGGCAATTGGGAGTTCTAGTCCTGCCTTAGACATGAAAGTTGGCTGGGTGACTTTGGACCAAACCCCCAGGAGATTGGGGGTTCTAGTCCTGCCTTAGATATGAAAGCTGGCTGGCTGGGTGACTTTGGACCAATCCCCAGGTGATTGGGAGTTCTAGTCCTGCCTTAGACATGAAAGCTGGCTGGGTGACTTTGGATCAATCCCCAGGAGATTGGGAGTTCTAGTCCCGCTTTAGACATGAAAGCCAGCTGGGTGGTTTTGGGCTATTCCCTCTTTTTTCAACCCGACCCACCTCACAGGGTTGTTGTTGTGGGGAAAATAGGAGGAAGGAGACATTTGTCAAGAATTTTCTCCTTGGTTCTAGGTTGGATCTCTGTTTAATGATCTTCTACCTGTTAGTTCTTGTTCTGCTCTCAGAGGCTTTGGAGAATAAGTCTATCCCCTCTTCTTTGTGATAGCCACTCAAACATTGTATGACAGCTATCATGTCATCCCTAATCCTTCTCTTTGTTAGGCTAGACATACCCAGTTTCCTCACTCGTTCATCATACAATTTAACCTCCAGATTCCTTATTTATTTATGTATTTTTCTCATATTTATACAATGTATATTGGAGGTGGTGACCCTTTGAGAGCTGAATGCAATGGAACTTCTTTTTAATGTATGCTGATTAGTGTATATTCAAAGTGACAATGAAGTTATTATTCTACTCTACTCTACTCCACTTCATTCCATAATTTGTCTATTCTATTCTATTCTGTTCTGTTCTGTTCTGCTCTGCTCTGCTCTATTCCATTCTACAATCTGTCTATTCTATTCTATTCCATTCTACAATCTGTCTATTCTATTCTACAATCTGTCTATTCTATTCCATTCCATTCTACAATCTATTCTATTCTATTCTATTCTATTCTATTCTATTCTATTCTATTCTATTCTATTCTATTCTATTCTACAATCTGTCTATTCTATTCTATTCTATTCTACAATCGGTTTATTCTATTCTATTCTATTCTATTCTACAATCTGTTTTCTATTCTATTCTATTCTATTCTATTCTATTCTATTCTATTCTATTCTATTCTATTCTATTCTATTCTATTCTATTCTATTCTATTCTATTCTACAATCTGTCTTTTCTATCCTATCCTATCCTTGCTGCTCTTCTCTGCACTCTTTCTAGGATCTCGGCATCAATTCTGTTATCATGGTGACTAGAACTGGACCCAGTACAGCTAGGGTCTGAAAGCTCAAAAGAGTAAACCTCTGATCCCAGTGACCGATCCAGATTGGATCTTGCAACATTATCATGGGACACGTATATTCGCCTTCATTCCTGAATTAAAATCAGTATCTGAAATTGGTACCCGAAACATTTTAGAGTGCTGGAATAAAATACGAAATGAAATACCTCCTTGGGAGAAAGGATGGAGATATAATCTTCATAGATCATCCGTGCTTTCTCGTCAATGTCACGTTTTTTGCATTCACTTTTGAGTTCCTCGCACGCTAACCAAAAGAGCATGTTTTCTTCGCTGTATTCAGTCCGTAAGAATTCTCGAAACACGTTCCTGCCAGCTGGATTTTTCATCAACTTGTCAAATGACTGGGACCAGCCCTTGACTTCTTCGGTGGTCGGTTTGGTGCTGAAGCCACCAGGGACACAATCCAGCAGAAACAAAGCAAAGCAGAGTGAGTCACAGTGGAAAGAAGAGGAGAGGAGGAGGAAGAGATATGTTATTGGAGTAACATCTCAGTAATACTAACACAATATTTGTATTGGCAGCTTTAAGTCCTGTGAACTTCAAGAGTTGAAGTCCACACATCTCAACTCAACCAATTCAACGCAACAGTTGAAGTCGTCTTCAAGAGTTGAAGTCCACACATCTCAACTCAACCAATTCGACTCAACAGTTGAGGTCAACTTCAAGAGTTGAAGTCCACACATCCCAATTCAACCAATTCAACTCAACAGTTGAAGTTGTCTTCAAGCGTTGAAGTCTACACATCTGAATTCAACCAATTCAACAGATGACATCAATTTCAACGGCTGAAGACCACTCGCCTCAACTCAACTCAACCAACTCAACTGAACAATTGAAGTCAACTTCAACAACTGAAGTCCACACATCTCATCTCAACTCAATCCAATCAAAGTCAACTCAACAGATGAAGTCAACTTCAACAGTTGAAGTCCATGTGTCTTAAAATTGACAAGTTTGAGAAGACATTGTTGTAAAGCTTTCATGCTCCTTTGCAGAAGGCTCTTAAAAAACAACTTACAGATAGTCGTCGACTTACAGCTGTTCATTAAATGACCAGTTATAAAGTGACTCATGACTGTGACTCACACGATCATCACAATATCCCCAAGTCATGTGATCAAAATTCAAATGCTTTGCAACCAGCATGTATTCACAATGACTGCAGCATCAAGATCACTATTTGTGATTTCCCCAGTTGACTTCTGACAAGCAAAGCCAATAGGGACAGCTGAATTTGCTTAGAAACTGTGTGATCCACTTAACAATGATTTTTAACAAGGTTTTATAACCAAATGTCGCCTGGCATTAACTCAATGCCTTTTCACGGAGGGTGGAAAGTTTCTTGCTTGCTAAAATCCTTTGTAAAGGAAGAAACCTGAGATCTTTCGCATCCGGAATCTGAGTTGCAAAATCAACGACTTCCAAATCTGATGGGGGGGGGGGAAGCAGTGTGTATTCTCGTAATCTTTCATGAAAGGGAAATCGGAGCAAAATCTAAATTTGCACTGGATGTCGAGAAATAAATTAGGTCCGTGCAGTGCTTTGACCTACCTTGGGCATCTCACTATACCAGTGATGGTGAACCTTTTCGAGACCGAGTGCCCAAACTGCAACCCAAAACCCACTTATGCATCGTCGGGTACCGGATGGGTGGGGCCCATTGGCTGGGTGTGGCTAATTGGGTGGGTGGTGGCATAATGGCTGGGCGTGGCTACGGTGGTAACGGCAGACTGGGTTGGGACTAAAAAGTTCAATCAATCAATTCCAACTTTGCAAGATCTTTTTTGTTCCTGTGAGAAGTTGAAATTGACTGATTGATTGAATCTATTTTTTTTTTTTGCACACGGCGGCGGAGGCCTAAAGCGAAAAGGTTTTATAAAACCCAGCTGAAGGCCTAGGACTGGGGCGACAGTGCGCGTGCCCACAGAGAGGGCTCTGAGTGCCGCCTCTGGCACCCGTGCCATAGGTTCGCCACCACTGGGCTAAACATATAAGGAACGGTTGCTGGAATTGTGTATGTCTAGTTCAGTGGTGGCGACCCTATGGCATGGGTGCCAGAGGCGGCACTCAGAGCCCTCTCTGTGGGCATGCGCGCTGTCGCCCCAGTCCTAGGCCTTCAGCTGGGCTTTATAAAACCTTTTCGCTTTAGGCCTTCACTGCTGTGTGCAAAAAAAAAAAAAAGGTTCAATCAAAAAAAAAAAGGTTCAATCACCCCAATTCAACCCTCCTCGGATCTCCGCTGGTGGGCGAGCGGGCACGCACACACAAACCCACACTGTCATAGATGCTTGCAAACGCCGACAGGCAACGCGAGTAGGACAGAGGAATGCAATGGGGCGGCTCCAAAGGCAAAAGAGAAGGCATTAGGAAGCCACGCCTTGGGCTGCATAATAAAAGGGGAAGTGTGGGAGTGCTAGTTGCCGAAGGCAATCTATTTGTGTTGAGGATCAAGTTTCAGTGAATTGTGTTTTGTCTGCCTTTGCCTTTGGACATTTTACTCAGGTCTGTAAAATAATAAAAGGGGTTTTGTTTTCCTGCGGTTCCAGCCTGCTTGTTGGAAGAGGGGTTTCTCCTTGTGAGTTTAACAAGGACTCAAGTAGGCTGGGACAGAACACCGACTGCCTGTAGGTTGGCGAGACCCCTGGAATGACCCTGCAAGAAACGTCGTAAAACGGGGCAAAAACTCGCTGAAATGAATTTCTCACTTAGCAACCCAAGTTCTGGGTTCGAGGATTAGCTGTACTAACTGCAAGTGTTGGGGGGGGGGAAAGGTAAAACTCACCAGGATTCACAGTTGGGAATGGTCTCCAATTTGGTTTCGCGAGACGCTCTCCAGGCCCTTTCCCGGTCTTCATTCCTAACGGCGGGGGGAAAAAAAGGGGGAGAAAATGAGAATTTTCCAAAGTTCTGAATCAAAAACCACAGCTTTATAAATTACAGACAGTCCTTCGACGTGCAACTTTTCATTTAGTGCAGTGGTTCTCAACCTGTGGGTCGGGACCCCATTTGGGGTCGAACGGCCATTTCACGGGGGTCGCCAAACAATGCAGTCCGACATTTTTTTTCCCCTTTTCCTTAGCTGTGCTCCTCCCTTTTATTCTATTGGCTTTTGAAAGCCAATAGGAATTGTCCAGGCTGTCTCAGCCCTGCTGAGCCCGCCAAAAGTCCCATTCTGCAAACGGTGCTGCACCAGTTGAGTAGTCCTCGACTTACGACCGGTTGAGTAGTCCTCGACTTACGACCGGTTGGGGGGTCACGGCATTAAAAAGGTTGAGAACCACTGATCTAGTCCAACCCTGTGCTCAGGCAGGAAACCTTATAGAGTTGAGAACCACTGATTTAGTGACTGTTTGAAGTTACAACGGCACTGGGGGAAAAAAAAAATGACCTTTTTTTTTTCCACACTTAAAACCACGGCAGCCCTCGCATGGGATCAAAATTTGGACGCTCGGCAACCGGCTCCTATTTATGACGGCTGCAATCGTCCCGGGATCGAGTGATCCCCTTTTTGCGACCTTCTGACGGGGGAAGGCAGATTTACTTAACAACCGGATTCCTAACTTTATAACTGTAGTGATCCACTTTGCAACTTGCGGCAAGGAAGTAAAAGGGGGCAAAATTCACGCGAGGAGTGTCTCGTTTAGCGACTGAAATTTTTGCACAATTGTCCCCCTAAGTTGAGCACTACAGTAGTGGCCAAAATTGTGGAAACCTTTTGGGAAAAGTGTATTTTTGAGCTTTGATGGCTAATAACACCCCGTTTTGGGGGGGAGTAGTACCATAAAATTATATATCAGTGGAAAGATAATTTAATCAAGAACGTAATGCAACAAAGTTTGTGCAATTATCTGAACTGTGTTCTATGAAAAGTTATAGCCAAATAACCAGAAAAAGGAAGCACAACTTGCTTAGGTTGATCTCAGGTAGCTTTCCTTCATCTGATTGTAGCCAATGAGCATGAGTGTTTAGAGAGCCAATCAGGTGTCACCTTGTTTTGGCCATGAGCCAATCAGATCACAGTAGGATTCAGTGACTGGTGTCATGTATTGAAGCTGAGAGGAGGACATGTGTCAGTTATGGGTTATGTGATTGCTATCAAGTTGGTTGGGGGTTTTTTTGCGTTTCTTTCATTGAGTGAGCTTGTAAAACGTAATAAAATTGAAGTCATGGTGTAAAGAGTTGACTGGTCGCCCAGAAAACGATGTAAAATAGTATTATTAAGTGGACAAGGCTAGTGTTCTAAAGAAATTAGAAGAAAAATGGGTGGAAACGTAACCGAAGGTGGCATTTCTACTGTACACTTTTCCCAAAAGGTTTCCACAATTTTGGCCACTCCTGTAATTGTACGACTATATTTTAAAGCGGTCAAGTGAGGCCGTTTGGTGTAGTGGTTACGGCCTCACAGCAAGAAACCAGGAGATTGTGAGTTTTAGTCCTGCTTTAAAGCTGGGGAATTCTGGGAGTTGAAGTCCACACAATTTCAAGGCCGCCATGTTTGAACAACGCAAGCAATTAGCAGACCGCAAGCAAGGGAAGACCATGTTGTCACCGGGCACTTCGGTTTTCTTGGGATGATTAATAACGAGATCAACCACAAAGCAATCCAGGGAAGTTGCAAAAACCGTTGAAAATGAGAGAATCAAATTCAACAGAGACCAGAGGATGTTGCTGAATTAGCAAAGGGAAAATCAAACAGGCAGGCAAAGTATTATTTATACCCAGATTCCCCAGACGGCTAATTGTGAAAAAAAAAACACTAATTAATTGTCTGCAAATGGAATCAGAATTAAGAGGGTGATGTGGCTGCCAGTGGTTTTTTTTTTGTGCCTGAGTTTTGAATTTTGGTCTGGTTTGATTTGGCCAGTAGATGTCAGGACTCCCTCAGTGTTTAATGAGCCAGAAGACTAAACAGAAGTTGAAATTCTAGACCAGGGGTCTTCAAACTTGGCCCCTTTTATGACTTGTGGACTTCAACTCCCAGAATTCCTCAGCCAGGCACGCATGCCTGGCTGAGGAATTCTGGGAGTTGAAGTCCACAAGTCATAAAAGGGGCCAAGTTTGAAGACCCCCTGATCTAGAGACAGGAGAACATTTCCACTCGCGTTCTCAAATAAAGTTAGTTGTTAGTCATCAATTTATAACAGTAGTTTAGTGAGAAGTTACTAGTACTGCTTTATAAAGCCTTACTGCAGTGGTTCTCAACCTTTTTAATGCCGCGACCCCCAACCGGTCGTAAGTCGAGGACTACTCAGCTGGTCGTAAGTCGAGGACTACTCAAACTGGTGCAGCACCGTTTGCAGAAGGGGACTTTTGGCGGGCTCAGCAGGGCAGAGACAGCCTGGACAATTCCTATTGGCTTTCAAAAGCCAATAGAATAAAAGGGAGTAGCACAGCTAAGGAAAAGGGGGAAAAAAATGGCGGACTGCGTTGTTTGGCGACCCCCGTGAAATGGTCATTTGACCCCAAATGGGGTCCTGACCCACAGGTTGAGAACCACTGCCTTACTGGGACCATATCTGGAATACTGCAACCAGTTTTGGTCACCACATTATAACAAAGATGTAGACTCTGGAAAGAGTGCAGAGAAGAGCAACTAAGATGATTAGGGGAGGCTAAAATATACCAAGAATGGCTGCAAGAACTGGGCATGGCTAGTTTAATGAAAAGAAGACTAAGGGTGACACGATAGCAACCTTCCAATATTTGAGGGCTGCCACAAAGAAGAGGGGGTCAACTTATTTTCCAAGAAGGCAAGACAAAACCAGAAGATAAGACAAGAAACGATGGATGGAAAGTAATCAAGGGGAGAAGCAACTTGGAATTAAAGAGAAACTTCTTCTCAGCGAGAACAATTAATCACTGGAAGGACTTGCCTCCAGAAGTTGTGGGGGCTCCATCACTGAAGGCTTTTAAGAAGAGATTGGACAACCATTTCTCTGAAATGGTCTAGTCCAGGGGTCTTCAAACCTGGCCCTTTGATGACTTGTGGACTTCAACTCCCAGAATTCCTCAGTCAGACACTGGCTGAGGAATTCTGGGAGTTGAAGTCCACAAGTCATCAAAGGGCCAAGTTTGAAGACCCCTGTTTTAAAGATTTCTAAAAACTTTAAGGCAGGGGTCTGCAACTTTTAAGATTTATGGACTTCAGCTCCCAGAATTCCTCAGCCAGGCACTCTGGTTGAGGAATTCTGGGAGTTGAAGTCCACAAGTCATCAAAGGGCCAAGTTTGAAGACCCCTGTTTTAAAGATTTCTAAAAACTTTAAGGCAGGGGTCTGCAACTTTTAAGATTTATGGACTTCAGCTCCCAAAATTCCTCAGCCAGGCACTCTGGTTGAGGAATTCTGGGAGTTGAAGTCCACAAGTCATCAAAGGGCCAAGTCGGAAGACCTCTGCTGTAGCCCTATCTGCTAACCCCATCAGCTTTTGCAGCCATTCATCCACAGTGGGAATCAAAGCATCTTCCCATTTTTTTGTACGTCAAGTAATCTTGCTGCCGTCAACAACATATACAACACCATCCGATCTAGCATTCCTGTGCTACGGAAAAATGCTATTTATGAGGATTCAGACTTAGAAGCCAAGGACAGGAGACGGGATGAAATGCACGCTGAGCTAGGAAATGATGGCATTTCTTAGCAAAGCCCACAAACAAATTAGTCAGTCAGACCCGGGTGCACGCAGAATATGGGACGCAGTTTGCAAAGCACAAACAGGAGACGCCATCTGTACACGATGGTGTTTAGACTCACTTGGTTAAATACTCCAGACAGCCTCCACAAATAAACACCACTTAAAGCCCAGGATAGATGGTTAGAATAGAAGAACAGAACTGGCTCTCTATTTCTATCCAGCCCTGGGCAGAGGCTAAAAACTAAGAGCTGTTCCTTGCAGCTTCTAGTTTTGCGCTGTGCGCGATGACTATTGTGGTCTCACCCTGTAACTGTGGTCTTCCGATTTGCTAGTGAGAGTTGTAAAGGGTTTGGTTCTGGGGTGGGGGCACACTGTCTGCGCTTTTTACCATTTCCGGAAAGCAACTGGTATTTTGCATAATGCATAATGGTATTTTTTTTTTTTTTTGAGAGCTGAATGCAACGAAGTTTCATTTTAATGTATGTTGATTAGTGTATATTTAAAGTGACAAAAATCTATTCCATTCCATTCCATATTTTCTATTCTTTTCTGTTCTCTATTCTGTTCTATTCCACATATTCTATTCTAGTCTTTCTATTCTGTTCTTTCTCTATCTATTCTATTCTATTCTATTCTACTCTATTTTCTATTCTATTCTATTCTTTCTCTATTCCATTCTTTATTCTATTCTATTCTTTCCCCTATTCTATTCTATTTTCTATTCTATTCTACTCTATGGTCTATTCTATTCTATTCTTTCTATTCTTTCTCTATTCTATTCTATTTATTCTATTCTACTCTATTTTCTGTTTTATTCTATTCTATTCTTTCTCCTATTCTATTCTATTCTATTCTACTCTACTCTATTTTCTATTCTATTCTATTCTTTCTCTATTCCATTCTTTATTCTATTCTATTCTTTCTCCTATTCTATTCTATTTTCTATTCTATTCTACTCTACTTTATGGTCTATTCTATTCTATTCTTTCTATTCTATTCTTTCTCTATTCTATTCTATTTATTCTATTCTACTCTATTTTCTGTTCTATTCTATTTTATTCTTTCTCTATTCTATTCTATTCTATTCTATTCTATTCTAATTCTACTCTACTCTACTCTACTCTACTCTATATTCTATTCTATTCTATTCTATTCTATTCTATTCTATTCTATTCTATCCTATCCTATCCTATCCTATCCTATCCTATCCTACCCACTGGCCCTCTTCTCCTTGCTCAGGAGCTGGGGAGAGTTAGAAAAAATATATACAGTTGGTCCGTGACTTACTACTGCAGTGGAGCCTAGAATTTCCATTGTAAGTCATGGCCATAAGTTGAGGCATCCGTGTGATTGGAGCTGATCTTATGACTTTTTTTTGCAGTGGTTAAGTGAATGTTGTGGTCATTAAGTGAGCCCTTTTATTCCTATCAGGATATTTTTTCCAGAGGGCTGGAAACTGGCAAAACCCTTTATAAGTGTGGTCACGTGTCTGTGGAATGCTGCAACCGCCTTAAAGGTGAGTCCGTTGTGAAGCCCCCCCAAATGCGTTCACATCAGTGTGTGTGTGTGTGTGTGTGTAGCTTTTGCAACTTGAGAACCTGCTCTAAGTAGCTTTGGGGGGACGAACTGTAATAACTGTGAACCGTTACTAAGTGACTGGTTGTTAAGTGAGGACTACTTATAAGGCCTCCTGAATGCGAACAAGCAGAGTCCTCAACTTGCCACAAAATTTGTTGAGTGACCTTTCAAAATTACAACGGCATTGAGGAAAGGGACTTTTCACACTTACGACCGTTGCAGCCTCTCCCAGGGTCACGTGATCAAAATTCAGGCACTTAGCAACTGACCCCTATTTATGACAGTCGCATTGTCCCAGGTTACGTGATCTCCTGACAAGCAATGGGGGAAGCCCGGTTCACTTAACAACCGGGCTACTACTTTAACAACTGCCGTGATTCACTTAACAACTGTGGCAAGAACGGTCGTAAAATGGGGGCAAAACTCACTTAACCACTGCCCTGCTTAGCAACGGGAATTTTGGGCTTGACTGCAGTCCTAAGTCAAGGACTCCCTGTAGTTTCATAGTCCAGTCCTATCGGCTTAGCACAGTGATCAAATATTTCATTTTTTTAAAAAAACACTTCTACCAAAGAACACTTTGGAAGTATACCTTCGTTGGACTCTGCTGCTTATCAAGGAATATTTGTGAAAGATGCCTGCCTTCCTGGGTTTGGCAGCACATGGGAATGCTCGTTAAACGCTCACTAGCCCTTGCGCCTTAAAGCAGAGCGTATTTTGCAAATCATCTGGAAGGCGAGTTTCGTGCCTCTTGCGAATGCAACACTTCCCTGCCAGCTACTCTGGACAGCCTGGGGTGGTGGAACGAGAGAAGGCATTGCCATTTTCAAGAACTACGCTAAGTTTAAAGGGACGGCTCATTAAAGCAGCAGCATCTTCCCCCCCCCCCCAAGCTCAACTGAGCATCTGCAAAAGATCCGGCTGCTTTAATAGGATCAAAGAGCCGAGGTGGTGCAGCAGTTAGAGTGCAGTACTGCAGGCCACTTTAGCTGACTGTGTTCAGCAGGTCAGCGGTTCAAATCTCACCGGCTCAAGGTTGACTCAGCCTTCCATCCTTCCGGGGTAGGTAAAATGAGGACCCAGATTGTTGAGGGCAATGTAAAAAATATATATATATATACATTGCTTACTGGTGTACACCGCTTAGAGCAGTGGTTCTCAACCTTTCTAATGCCGCGACCCCATAATACAGTTCCCCATGTTGTGGTGACCCCCAACCACTTATACATCACCGGGTGCCAGGGGCGTGGCCAAAGAAAAGGGGGAAAAATGGCAGACAGCCTTGTTTGGCGACCCCCGTGAAATGGTCGTTCGACCCCAAATGGGGTCCCGACCCACAGGTTGAGAACCACTGGCTTAGAGAGTGCTTGCACTTAAAGCGGTATATAAGTCTCATAAATAAATAAATAAATAAATAAATAAATAAATAAATCAGAGTGGAACTTATGATTGTAGTGGGGCTTGCCCGTCACGGTCATTAAGTTGTGAGGGTTGTAAAACGGGTCACCTGCTTGACCGACCTGACCGACCTTGACCGACTTCTTTTTGCGGTGGTGGTTACGCAAACACTGCAGCTGTTAAGCGAACGAACGGTTCGCCATGGGCCAGTTTGGCGGAAAATGGAAGCAAAGGGTGGTTTTTTGGCAAAACTGTTGTAAAACGTTGCCACGTGGCTGTGGGACCCTGGAAACAAGACATAAATATGGGCTGGATGCTGAGTGCCTGACATTCAGTCATGCAACTATGTGTGAAAGAAAGAGAGAAAGAGAAAGAAAAAGGAAGGAAGGGAGGAAAGAAAGAAAGGAAAGTGGAAAGAAAAGAAATGAAGAAAAGTGGGAGGGAGGGGAAAGGAAGGGAAATGGGAGGAAAGGAAGGGAAGGAAGGGAAGGAAGGGAAGGAAGAAAAGTGAAAGGAAAGAAAAGGAGAAAAAGTGGGAAGGAAGGGAAGGATGGGATGGATTCTGGCTGTCAGAATCACATCATAAGTAACCCCGGAGACCTCCATCATAACGTTAAGCATTCAGTAAGCCATCGTCATAAGTCTAGGACTACTTGCAAAGAACGCAGAGTCCTGGCAGAGGTGTGAAGCCGTGAATGTGTGCACCTGTGCCTGTGTATAGAAGAAGCAGACTGGATGCCAGGAAAGAGCCAAGGTCCCCCCCCCACACCTACCAAGAGCAGCTGCAACAGCAGCACCAGCACAGGCAGCAGGGATTGGCCCGTCGGTGGTTGCTGGCCCTCCGCAGTGCAGCCGCAGACGTCTCATGCTGGGACATTGGAAGTGGTCTGTCCTGGTACGGTGGGTCTGGGTACTGGAAAGGGGAGGAGCCAAAGAGAGAGGGTGAGGAACAAGCCATCTCGGCCAGCTGACTCGGCGGGAGGCCCTTCAGAGAACCAACCTTCCTTCCTTCCTTCCTTCCTTCCTTCCTTCCTTCCTTCCTTCCTTCCTTCCTTCCTTCCTTCCTTCTTTTCCATTCATCCATTCATCCTTTCATTCACTCACCAATTTATTCTCTCGTTCACTGACCGATTCATTCATTCATTCATTCAATCAATCCATCAACAGATATTGAGCCGTGGTGGCGCAGTGGTTAGAATGCAATATTGCAGGCTACAATCTGCCCACTGCCAGCAGTTCGATCCTGACCGGCTCAAGGTTGGCTCAGCCTTCCATCCTTTCCGAGGTCGGCAAAAGGAGGGCCCGGATTGTTGGGGGCAATAATGCTGACTCTGTAAAACGCTTAGAGAGGGCTGTAGAGCATTATGGGGCAGCATATAAATCTAAGCGCTGATGATATTCTCATTCAATCATCCCCATGGGTCACGAGATCAAAACTTGGGGGGGGGGGCTTGGCAACTGACCTGTATTTATGACGGTTGCATTGTCCCGGGGTCATGTGATCACCATCCCAGCCGGCTTCCGACAAGCCAAATCAATGGGGGAGTGGAAGGCAGCTTTGTTTAGCGGCTGCCTGATTCACTTAAGAACTTCAGTGATTTGCTTAACAACCGTGACAAACATTATCTGAAAAACGGGGCAAAACTCCCTTAACTTGGCAACAGAAGGTTTGGGCTCAATGGTGGCCGTTAAGTCAAGGACTACTGCAACTAGAGTCTTTTCTTGGGTCAATGTGAGTTGATGGCCTACAAGGTCACTAACCCCCGGGCTGCAAACCCTTACCGGTCCACAGCCTGTTGGAACCAGGTCATGCATCTACGGGATCTACAGCAGTGGCCAAAATTGTAGAAACCTTTTGGGAAAAGTGTATTTTTGAGGTTTGATGGCTAATAACACCATTTTTTTGGGGGGGGGAGTAGTACCATAAAATTATATATCAATGGAAAGATCATTTAATCAAGAATGCAATGCAACAAAGTTTGTTCAATTATCTGTACTGTATTCTATGAAAGGTTATAGCCAAATAACAAGAAAAAGGAAGCACAACTGGCTTAGGTGGATCTCAGGTAGCTTTCCTTCATCGGATTGTAGCCAATGAGCTGAGTGTTTAGAGCAGTGGTTCTCAACCTTTTTAATGCCGCGACCCCCAACCGGTTGTAAGTCGAGGACTACTCAACCGGTCGTAAGTCGAGGACTATTCAACTGGTGCAGCACCGTTTGGAGAATGAGACTTTTGGTGGGCTCAGCAGGGCAGAGACAGCCTGGACAATTCCTATTGGCTTTTGAAAGCCAATAGAATTAGACTCTATTCAAGAGAGTCTATTCTATTGGCTTTCAAAAGCCAATAGAATAAAAGGGAGTAGCACAGCTAAGGAAAAGGGGAAAAAAAATGGCAGACTGCGTTGTTTGGCGACCCCCGTGAAATGGTCGTTTGACCCCAAATGGGGTCCCGACCCACAGGTTGAGAACCACTGGTTTAGAGAGCCAATCGGGTGTCATCTTGTTTGGGCAATGAGCCAATCAGATCACAGTAGGATCCAGTGATTGATGTCCTGTATTGAAGCTGAGAGGAGGACATTGGTCAGTGTGTTGTGTGATGGCTATCAAGTCGGTTGGGGTTTTTTGTGTTCTTTCATTGAGTGAGCTTGTAAAACGTAATAAAATTAAAGTCATGGTGCAAAGAGTTGACTGGTCACCCAGAAAGCGATGTAAAATAGTATTAATAAGTGAACAAGGCTACAGTTGTAAAGAAATTAGAAGAAAAATGGGTGGAAACTTAACCAAAGGTGGCATTTCTCCTGTACACTTTTCCCAAAAAGTTTCCACAATTTTGGCCGCTACTATAGGTCGTGTGCGCGAAACTATTGCACCCCCTCCTGCCGCCCCCGTTGTCACCAGTCCGTGGAGCCAGCAAGGTTGGAGACCGCTGCCTTACAAGCAACAGTTTGAAAATGCTATCCTGGTTTTTGTGAATGACCGGAGTTAGGATCAGCCGCTTACCTGCTTCCCCACTTCGCAAACAGTCGGCATGGGCAGTCCTCTTCAGCCCTTCTGGCCCACGCCGGGTGCTTACTCGGTGTCCAAGGGCCGGCCAGACGTCCCTGTGGCCACCGCCCGGCCTAGGGCAATTGCAGCTTAGGGAACAGCCCCTGTAGAAAGCAACAACATTGCCGTGGTTACAAGGACGTTCCCCTGTGCTGGTCTTCCAAAGCCTCTACACAATCAACAATAAGCCTCGCATTAATTCACTGCAGATTCAAGCATCCTTCTTCGTGAGGGCAATGCAGAGATTCTGAAGGAGAAGCCGACAAAAAGCGGCCAAATTGTGTGTTTAAAAACAAAATATATCAAAAAATCCCCCCAAAATCTCACTTCACACTCTCTCCCACCCCAGGAAATCAAGTCCTCCTGTTTCACGGTTCTAATTTTTGGGGAGCGCAGCTTCTTCAAAGATATTGAGGTGATGAGAGGGGCAGTTTGGTCTGGGGGTGAAGGCGCCAGGCTAGAAAAGTGGGAAATGGTGAATTTTAGTCCCGCTTTAGGCACAAAGACGATTGGGTGACCTTGGGATAGTCACCCTCTCTTAGTGTTAGGACAGCGGTTCTCAACCTATGGGTCGCGACCCCATTTGGGGTCGAACGACCATTTTACGGGGGTCGCCAAACAACGCGATCCGCCATTTTTCCCCCTCAGGGGGCGCCGCCGCGCATGCACGGCGCGTCCGTGTGACGGGGGTCGCCGTCACACAAAGGTTGAGAACCGTTGTGTTAGGAAGAAGATGGCAAGGGCAAAGCTCGTTTGACATCCAGCCAAGAAAACTTCTCCCTCCCCCTCCCCCCCCCTCTCTCTCACACACACACACACACAGAGAGAGAGTAAAGGAACCGATCATAATCAAACAATTTGGTCTAGTGGTTAAAGCACCAGGCTAGTAAACCAAGAGACTGTAAGTTCTAGGCGTAAAAACCAGCTGGGTGATTTTACATCAATCACCAGGAGATTGTGAGTTGTAGTTCAGCCTTAGGCATGAAAGCCAGCTAGGTGACTTTGGGTCAATCACGAGATTGTGAATTCTAGTTCTGCCTAGGCATGAAAGCTGGCTGGGTGACTTTGGGCAATCACCAGGAGATTGTGAGTGCTAGTCCCGTCTAGGCATGAAAGCCGGTTGGGTGACTTTGGGTCAATCACGAGGTTGTGAGTTCTAGTTCTGCCTAGGCATGAAAGCTGGCTGGGTGACTTTGGGCCAATCACCAGGAGACTGAGTTCTAATCCCGCCTTAGGCATGAAAGCCAGCTGGGTGACTTTGGATCAACCACCAGGAGATTTTGAGTTCTAGTTCTGCCTAGAAATGGAAGCCGGCTGGGTGACTTTGCACCAGGCACCAGGAGACTTGTGACTTCTAGTCTCATCCTGGTCATGAAAGGCAGGTGGACGACCTTGAGTCAGTCACTCTCTCTCAGCCCATCCCACCTTGCAGGATTGTTGTTGTTGTTGGGGGGGGGAAACAGGAGGACGAAAGTTTGTTGGATGTGTTCGTGGCTTTGAATCACTTGTAAAAATAATGGAATATCAATAATAAAATTAAGAGTTAATCAAATAAATATGCTGCGGAGTATACATGCCTTCAGAGCTGCTGGGTTATATAAAGTGGCTGGCCCCGTCAGAGTTCTTCTTTGTAGTTCCTTGATTAGGGAAAGCCAGTCATATATAATCAGAGAGCACACCCCACTCCTGTCTAGCACTGATGACGTTACCTAGTTGGGTCATGAAACGTCTGCCAAAAAAACCCCCAACCAAACTCAGAGTGCACTGAAGCAGGGGTCTGCAACCTTGACCACTTTAAGATTTGTGGACTTCAGCTCCCAGAATTCTTCTGGCCAGCTAGTCCACAAATCTTAAAGTGGTCAAGGTTGCAGACCCCTGCACTAAGGACCCCACAGAGATTAAAGCAGCAGAACAATATTTTCCAATCTTCTTCACTCTTTTCACTCAACGCTTTCTGACGTCCTTGGCAACGTTTAGACCAGTGGAGACCACCCCTTTCCCACCACCCAAGCTGCAAGGTTCAGATCTGAGCATCCACAAAGGATCTACCAAGATTTCACGTACTCTTATCTCCCAACAGTTCAATGAGATCTCCAGAAACCGCCAAAACATGTCTCCCTGAAAATTTAAGCACTGATGATGTTATCTAGTTGGGTCGTGAAACGTCTGCAAGAAAACAACCCAACTCAGAGAGCACTAAGGACGCCACAGTCCTATTCCTCTTTCTCCTCTTCCCACTGATGGTGTTCCCTAGTTTGGTAATGAAATGTCTGCAAGAAAACAACCAAGCTCAGAGAGCACCAAGGACGCCACAGTCCTATTCCTCCTCCTCCTCCTCGCAAACCCCACTTCCTTCTAGCACTGATGATGTTACCTAGTTAGGTCATAGAATGTCTGTAAGAAAACCACCAAGCTGAGAGAGCACCAAAAATCCCATTGTCTCCTCCTCTTCCTCTCCACAAACCCCACTCCCCTCTAGCGATGATGTTACCTAGTTGGGTCATGGAACGTCTGCAAGAAAACAACCCCACTCAGAGAGCACCAAGGGCCCCTAATTAAAGCATTATTACAGCACTGACGCAGTTCATTCAGCTACCAACCACCTTCCCAATTTTGTCACTGGATGTACCTTCAGCTGCCAAATGCAGCTTTGAAGGTCAAACTTTTATGTCCTGGTACTTGTTTATGCTTTATGCACGCTGCGTTCTGTGCTTTCCCTTTCCTGCAAGATTCAAATACCGTGTCAAGACACAACGTATTTCATGGGTGACACTGAAGGATCCCAGGCTGCTCTCCTTCCCGTTCCTTTGTCGAGCAAAGAGGAAGTCATGCAAAGAGCAGACGTCCGATTAGCATGTCGTCTTCTGAGACCGCCATGACTAGGAAAGGTTCGCTCAAAGATTAGAAATCTGATTGTAAATTAGAAGTTGAGCGAAGAAGAAAAGAAAGAAAGTGATGCTGAGGAAACAGCCACAGAGAAGAGGGAGTCAAGCTATTCTCCAAAGCACCTGAAGGCAGGACAAGAAGCAACGGATGGAAACTAATCAAGGAGAGAAGCAACCTAGAACTAAGGAGAAACTTCCTGACAGTTAGAACAATCACTCAGTGGAACAACCTGCCTCCAGAAGTTGTGACTGCTCCAATATTATAGGTTTTTTTTTTAAAAAAGAAGAGATTGGACAACCCTTTGTGTAAAATGGTATAGGGTCTTCTGCCTGAGCAGGGGTTGGACTAGAAGACCTCCAAGGTCCCTTCCAACTCTGTGAAATTGGAAGGGCAGATCTTCGGCATCTTTAGGCAAAGGATGGTTGATTTTGGAGTAGAAAATCTTCAGGAATTCTGGGAATTGAAGTCCATGCATTTAAAGTTGCCAAGGTTGAGAAACACTGATCTAGACCAGTGTTTCTCAACCTCTGTTACTTTAAGATGCACGGACTTCAACTCCCAGAATTCTCCCACCAGCATGGAAGGCTGAGGAATTCTGGGAGGTGAAGTCCGTCCATCCATCTTAAAGTTGCCAAGGTTGACAAACATTGATCTAGATAGACCAGGGGTAGGCAACCTTGGCTCTTTTATGACTCATGGACTTCAACTCCCAGAATTCCTGAGTCAGCATAGCTTAGATGAATCAGGAATTCTGGGAGTTGAAGGCCACGAGTCATAAAAGAGCCAAGGTTGCCTACCCCTGATCGAGACAGTTTAGTCCAGGGGTCTGCAACCTTGATAACTTTAAGACTTGTGTACTTCAGCTCCCAGAATTGCTCGGAGGAATTCTGGGAGCTGAAGTCCACAAGTCTTAAAGTTGTCAAGATTGCAGACCCCAGGTTTAGTCTATAGGTAGTCCTTGACTTACAATAAATTTTTTGGCATCGGTTGCAAGTTACCCCACCACTGAAAAAGTCACTTACAACCGGTCCTCACATTTACGACCATTTACGACAGTGGTGACGTGATCATGGTTGCGGCACCCTGCGGTCACGTGATCTTCATTTGCAACTTTCCCAGCCGGTTTCTAACAAGCAAAGTCAATGGAAGAAGCTTAACGACCGCTGGATTCACCGCAGCGATTTGCTTAACAACGGTGGCAAAAAACGGTCGTAAAATTGGGCAAAACTCACTCCACAACTATCTGACTCAAGTCACAGAAATCTGGGGCTGAATTGTGGACCCAACTCAAGGGCTCGTTCTACTTCTTTTGCCTGTTTAAAATATAATAAATATAACACAAAGCTGAATGATATGATTCCCCTACAGCCGGGAAGAAAACAGATGGATTTCTGCATCAGCTTGTCTTATTTCATGGCTCTATTTTATCCAACGGGTTCCATTCAGCTATTCTGGGAACGGTTCCCAGATCTCGAGGTAAGTCTAGCTAGCCAAGTAAGAGGTCAGTGCAGCTCTCTGCTCCACACAGTTTGCTTAGAATCTTTTTTGGCTTTTCGAAACAATGAATACGAGCGCAACAATAATAAGAAAGTTTCTTTAACATCTCAAGAGCAGATTCCATACAACTATATATATATACAACTGGGTCCCTTCCTGTTTAGTGTTCCAAAACTCCACAGCTCTCAGCCTACCCAAGTGGTCCAGACTAGGAAACACAGCCAGAGGAATGAATTCTATTTTATTGTAAGGCTACATCAGGGGGAGGCAACCTTGGCTCTTTTATGACTCGTGGACTTCAACTCCCAGAATTCCTGAGCCAGCATGGCTCAGCTTGGAAACCTCTCCCTTTCCCCTCAGCGTGGCTGGCTCAGGGATTCTGGGAATCGAAGTCCACGAGTCCTAAAAGAGCCAAGGTTGCCTACCCCTGGTCTAAACCCAACATTGGGTCCTTCAGTGCCATCCTAGGCCAGGGGTAGGCAACCTTGGCTCTTTTATGACTCGTGGACTTCAACTCCCAGAATTCCTGAGCCAGCATGGGGGAACTATGGCCCCTTCATGACTCGTGGACTTCAACTCCAGAATTCCTGAGCAGCATGGGGAACTATGGCCCCTTCATGACTCGTGGACTTCAACTCCCAGAAGTCCTGAGCCAGCATGGGGGAACTATGGTCCCCTCATGACTGGTGAACTTCAACTCCCAGAATTCCTGAGCCAGCAT